GTTAAATACACTCCATGATACAGATTGATGTTATAGTGGCCTTATATATTGTTTTATAGTACAAAATCATAACACTTACAGCATTCATTATGAAAAAAGGCCCCCCTCTTTACTATGCAAAAGTATCCTCAAAAAGAATCCCATCTCAAAAAAAGAACATCAAAAGTTTGCAAAAAAAAAAAGAAGCCTAGGGCTTCAATTTGAGGTTTTACAGTACTATGCTAGTAAGCATGACTTGCTCATTCATTAAATACATTCATTGAACACATTCCATATAATAAGCTATCCACTACATAATCTTGCATAAGTGAAAGAAATGAGGTCCATTACATAATGACAAGTTGTTACATGCACCTAGAAGACTGATTGTATAGAACCTTGTATTTCAACCCTCTAGCCCAAACATCTTTGAGGTTAAGTGCTAGTTAATCCCAGTTAAGCCAACTGAGATATGTGATGCTCTAAATCACTTATGAAAAAATCACAAATACAAACATAACATATAAAGAGCAAACAGTGTATAGAAAAAAAGTTATGAATAAACGTTTTAGAATAAAATTCATACATATTTAATTTAATTTGCATAAAACATACTTGGCCTTGTGATGATTGGCTAGCACAATTTTTCCTATAGCAGGCTAATATCTGTGCCGTTCGATTGACTAATCCATCTCGGATTGCTTTGGGATTGGAAGCCAATGATGCTGTCATTGCTATAAATAGAGAAAAAACAATATTGTCAAGATAGTAAGTAATGAAAAAAAAGAAACTCATAAGGCCAAATAAAAAAAAAATACTAGTTTCTCATCCCCTCGCGAATTCATCTTCTCTGCCTCACCATCAGTAAAATTCCTCTCTTCATCTTTCATGGTTGGGCATACATATGGGATAAATTATGTCTAGTGCTTCTTTTAGTTACTTTTAGTGTGTCTACTTGGTACAAGTGAGAAAGTAGTAGCTGTTTCCCCTCAACCACCTCGGATTTGCCATCACAGGAGTTAAAAAAAAAAAAAAAGTGCCCTAATTCTTCTTTTTTCAACATATTAGAACGGGAAACTACATTGTTTTTTTACTTGGCCTAATCATAATTTTTTTTTTACTCTATTAGAAATAGCGGTACAGTATATGTTTTCTAATGATATTTCTACATGATGTTTCCATCCACAAAAAAACGTGTCCTCATTCTCTTTTTCTAAAAATATTAGGAAGAAACTATTTTTTTTTTTACTTGGCCTAATCATAAAAGTGAACTTTTGAATATTAAATAAATTAACATACATGCAATACTTCCAATATAGTGATAAAAAGGAGAAATTTAGTAATAATTTAATTCAGAATTCAAGATAAACTATGACACTAAAAAGAATCTGCCATATCTTAACACTCACCATGTTTTGATAGGAAGTTAATGATGCTATCTGTTTCACAGCTGCGATACATATCTGCCATTTGTGTACAACAGTTAAGTGATAAGTTGAGTAATCGAAGCCTACGCTGACCACTGACACTTGTGTATAGCACCTGTCTCTTATACACATCTAGATGTGTATAAGAGACAGTCATAGAGCTGGTCATGATAAAAATATTTTTATTTTTTAGAGGGTGGAGCAGATATAGAATTAAATAAGTTTGTATTCAGTACCTCTGCCAAGGAGGTTATGTATTTACCCTTGTCTGTCTTTTAGCAAGGTTACACAAAATATAATGAATGGATCATCATAAAATTTAGTGCAATGGTACATAATAATATGTGGGAAAAAAATGGAGTGACTGTTCTAGTTGTTATTGTATTCACAGTCCTTGATGAAACAATAAAATATATCCTCAACCATGTTAAATGTTTCTTACCTGTACAAATGCTCCCGTCTCTTCAGACAACTTATCATCATGTTTGATCTCAAATGTAACTGCCTTGTCACAATCAATCGATGCCAACTCAACGTCAACCGTGTTTGACATGAAGAAATTACCATGGAAATCTGTTGCGCGAATACCGGTGCTTGTTCGTACACGCATGACCGCATCAAATGCAATTGGTCGTTTTATGTTACGATTGAGGTCTTGCATGAAACGCTCGCCTTCTGTTGAAGCCTGAGTAAAGCCAACGAAAAATAAATTTGTCTTAGTAAGAGCATAAATATATCAAACTTTCTTTTATAATATTTATATTAAATTATTCTGTTTTTCAATATCTCTATTGTTAAATAATATGGTAGGACTCAATGGTGTATCTAGGAGTATTTACAAGGGGTGCTGATGGGGGCACAAAGGTTAAGTGGGGGATCAATAATTAAGTGAAGGCGTGTTAGCAGTCTTTATAAGGCCACTTAAAACTTCTTCAGCATAATTTTTTGCTCAGCGGTGGTAGAGGATGGGTAAGGGGGAGTTACACAACTTGTAGGTCTTACTTGAAAGTATGTGTATTTATAACACTGTCCTCCAGTGATACTGGACACTTGACCAATGGTTGCAAGGTCTGTGTATGCATTTGGAAATAAAAATAAATCAACACTACAGCCAGCAGCAACACAGTCTTGTCCAAGTTTAGTGTAGAAGCCGGTCTGTGGTGACAGCAACGTCTACAAAGACCAATGAAACAAAAATTAGAAAAATTTTTACAAGGTGGAATGGAGTGAAGTTGGTTGGGGTGAGGGCCGCTATATCTGCAGAAACCATAACCATGCCATTGACAGCCAACCACCACAAAAAAATATCTTTGATTTGATTTCATTTGGAATGCTTTGACAAAACAAGTACATTTTAACATCTTCATTCATCCACAACAATTAACAACTAGATCCATGAGTCAGAAAGCACAAGAAACAAACTTCTTTATCTTACCTTTTCTTTCTCAGTCCCAAGTAACTTTCTATCATCTCTATTTTTCAGTTTTCCGGGGGCATCAGCAATTGGAAGGGATGTGTGGAATATAAACAGCTTTCCTACACAATTGGCCGCCTACAAAAAAGGAAATAAACTGGTAACATTTCAAAAGAAATACATGTAATCCCAATGGAAAAAACAGGTTACATTAAAAAATCAATAGGCAACATCCCCAAAAGAAATTATAGGTAACATCCCCAAAAGAAATTATAGGCAACATCCCCAAAAGAAATTATAGGCAACATCCCCAAAAGAAATTATACTGTAGGTAACATCCCCAAAAGAAATTATAGGTAACACCTGCAAAAGAAATTATAAGTAACACCCCCAAAAGCAATTGTCAAAGGAAAAACATAGCTTTCTTATATAGATTTCAGCATCTTCAACAACTTCCAAGTTTTTCAAATTAAAGCTAGGAATGTTTTGTTCTTTCCAACCAGTTATTCTTCTACTACTGTTAAATCAACAAACCAACAAATACAAAAAAATTGTTCTTTCTGATATGTTCTTTTCGTGGGTAGTCATAGTAACGCCATTAATAATACTAATCATTAATAATTTAATTTATTCTGCCTGTTGATTAAATATCATTATCATTATTATTATTACCAATATTATTAAATTAAATCAACTTGATATAAATTCATAGCAGCAAGTGTAGGAATGCTATACCTTGAGCGCTTCCAATCCTGCTTGGACAACTGGTCCCAACATTGATTCTGTCTCCCTCGTTTCAGCAAACATCTCTGGGATTTGATCAAGCAGACTAAGACAAAGTAAAGTATACAAAATATATCACATTAAACCATATTGCTAATTAGTTACCTTATTACTTATCAAGTAAAAACTTATTACGGTATTAATTAATCGATGATGACGTCATCAGGAGCAAAGACCATTAGTAAAATCGACGTTCGTAAAAAGGACATAACATACAAACATAATGCAGACCCATTGACCTTTTTTTTTTATTGTCAACACTCCGTATAATTCTTGATAATAACAATGAATGGAAAAGGAAAGTATTGCACCTACAGATAGACATGAAGTACGGGACTTCGTTAAGAAAATGAATTATTCATGATACAGTATTATTATTACTCCATTTTGCCAGAAATTATACTATTGGTAAATCATTAATTATATGCATTCAGACCAATTGCTAAAGTTAAAAATTATATTTTGGGAAATTGGTTTTAAAGTCCTGTTTTATATCATAAGTGTACATTAAATTTTTAGTTTTTATAATACTGTATGTAATTAAAATGTTTTTGTATGATATTAAATACTTTGATGCTGTGGCCTCTCCAAATACAAAAAGGTGTACTACAAGATGTGTATGTGTAATTCTTTATGTAGATTCAAACTATTGGTGTTAAATTTAAATAAAGATGTATGTTAGATAGGCCTATATGCTGTTGAAAATTAAATCTGATCATTATAATTCAATTACAGTATAAACAAGCTTCTCTGTGTGCGTGTGTGTGTGGGTAATTTTTTTCCTTCATATCTTCAATTTTTACTGAACATATTTTGGTGCTATACATATCCTTGTTGATGGATATATTGGGTTTAGCATAATAGACCCTCATTTATTAGTCTCAGATCAACGTAGATAACTTTAGAAAAGAAATAACAATATAGTACATGTAATGCACTATATAGTTTTTTGTTGTTTCGCTTTTATTTGAGCATCCATCAGGAATAATATTCCTGATGATGCTTAAATAAAAGCGAAACGTAGAATAAAATGACCTTGTCAACTTTTGGAGTGACATTCATACTATTTGTACTTAAACTCAGTGCACATCCTAATGGTTTTTAGAATAAATAAATATAAGACATTTGTTAATTTGGGACCACAATAAGGTGATCTTTAATTGGAGGGGTTTTTAATAGAGGGAGACCTGTATTAACATACTAAAAATTTGAGAAAGTGTCTGTTTCAATAACGTGAGCATACCTATCAATAACCGCCCTAGAATCAGACACTGTAACCAGGAAGCCATCTAACAGAGGCATAAACACATCATGCACATCTGAGACCACAAGCATCTGCGGCTGAGCGAGGGCAGAATTGATATTATAGAAATGAAGCGTACTGTTATATGTAACAA